GCGGGTGTGCTCTGGGGAGGGGCCGCCCAAGACCGACCTCATGGCCTTCAGCCCCAGCGTTCCACCATTACAAGAAGATTGCTTAAATCCTTCCAGTGAAGTAAGTCATTGATAAAATTGAAACAGTTTTTCTTCTAAAACTTAATTTTTTGTTTTAACTATTTTTCGTTAGCTATTTCTCTCATAATATTACCCTCTTAAAATATTGAAAATATCAAATCATTATGCTACATGGTCGTCCTTAGTCATTCAGATTCTTTTTTATGTCCTTACTGCTTTTAATGAATGAAATGTTTAGGTAGAACGGAGCTCACTGCCACCCTTGGTATTGGACTGGGTTACTAACCTCAAGGTCAGAGGTTCCAACCCACCAGCTATTCAGAGAATGCCGACGCTGTCTGTTCCTGTAAGGATTTACAAGCCTCATAAATCATATATAGGGTCGGGAGGAAGAGGGAATTACTCACTGACAGTGGTGCAATTTATTCTCATATATGAATGGTAAGTCTTGAAAAGATATTGTTACCCTGAAATCTTCTCACATGTTTGATATATCTTAAACATTAAAAAATATCTAAATATAAATCCATAATTACAGAAAAGTTCCAAGAATAGTATGTCTAGTTCCCAAGTAAGTTCCCAGTTGAAGTTCGTTTGTGGTCTGTCTGTCTTCATTCAAATACACATGTTTTGCAATTTAAAAAAAAATCAAGATTACAGTATGTTGTAGACACAGACATGCCATATAATGGGGAGTGCTAAATGAACTGATAAGGAGCCCAAGTGGGATTGTGGGTTATGCTGTTGGCTGCTAACTGCAGCTCAGCACTTCAAAAACCATCAGCATCTCCCCTGGAGAGAGATGAGGCTTTCCATTTCCTTAAAGATTTACAGCCTCAGAAACCACAGAGCCAGTTCTGTTCTGTCCTATAGGATCACTAGGAATCGGAACTGGCTCGATGGCAATGTGAGTTTTTGTAATTGAACTGATAAAAATTGTGCTCACCAACAGTATTGGTATATAAAGAGTGTTAAATAGGTGGGTGTTTTTACTTTTCTGATAATTATGTATACATGTTTCTCCTCAAGTGTTTTAAATTATAAATACAGAATGGATTGTTTAAATATTTACTCCAAAAGTTTATATTTGGGTAAAATGTATATAACATAAGAATCCCACTAAGAAAGTCAATGAATCCTTATTGCCTTTCCAAATACTTCGTTCACTACAAATTAAGTTTTTTCCTTTGTATGTAATAAAAAAGTGAAACAATGCATTTTTCTTGGGCATAAAATTGAATCAAAACTTTCTTGATAAGTTCATGAACATAAGAAAAAGGGAAAAATCACACTAATTTTGCATATATTCACTAGTTGCCTGGTGAGACGTGAACTGATTTTTATTAAAAGTTTCCATATTAGTATTATTTCAATATGTTTTATAAAAGGGAACTAACTAGATCCTAAGATGCAAATATATTTAAAACCATAGTATATGTTGGAATAAAAGAGAATCACAAAATTCCCCATATAAATGCCTAAAAAGTGTTTATATATTAATGTAGTGATAGAAATAATTTCAATTAAATTCTATTGGTAATTTTAAAATAATGTTTTCCTCTTGTTCGGAAGTGGCTCTTTTTCTGGAATGCTTTTCTCTTGATAGGCTCCTGCCCTAATGGAACAATTGGTTAAACTTTGGGCTGCTAACCCCAAAGTTTGTTCAAAACCATCAACCATGGAGAAAGATGGGCCTGTCTGTATCCATAACGATTTACACTTTCGGAAACTCCATGGAGAAATTCTATCTATTCTGTGTTGTCGTTTGCTGCTGTCAAGTCCTACTCATAGCGATTCTATGCACAACAGAAGGAAACACTGCCTGGTCCTGCACCATCCTCACAATTGTTCATAGTCTGAGCCCATTGTTGCAGTCACCATGTCAGTAGTATATCTTGTCAAGGGCCATCCTGTTCTATAGTGTGCTGTAAATTTTAATCAACTCAATGGAAATGGGTATGATTTCTTTTTAATTAAAATTGGCTTTTTGGTAGCCAATTATGTTTGTCAGAGTATACATAATGCAGTCAATAAGAGGAAGCTACTATTTTGATTTTATGTGCTATCATTTGGGATTTTAATCTTGTTTTACTATAGTACTACTTAAGAATGTTCTTGAAAATATTAACATATTAGAGAAAAAATTGTTTAGATGTTTGTTTGAGTTCCTCTTAAAAGCACTAGGATTCAGATATAATTTTAGGTGTAAAGAAATTTGTACAATGTACAATGTTACTCTCCTTGATCACCATTTTATTTTAGTACAACTTACACATACCAAGCAATACAAATTATATTATATATTATTGATTCTAAGATGAATACTTTTCTGTTAGTGTTCACAATGAGTGCTTCCTTCCTTTCAAATGAGATTGACTACTATATATTTTTTGTTTACTTAAAATATAACAAAAATACTTCTCAATTTTAAATGTTTCAATATCATCGGAATTGAGATGCATCTATACTTTGTAATGATTTAGTTAGTTGTTTTCCTCTTTTGATGGTAATCATGCATATCTATCATGGCATTGGGGGTTAAATGAAATACATTGTTGTTAGATGCCATCCAGTCAGTGCTAACTCCTAGGCACCTCATGAACTGCAGCAGGAACACTGCCCGGGCCATGCCATCCTCACAATTGTTATGTTGGCTCATTGGGCAGCCGCTGTGTCAGTTCATCTTCTTGAGGATCTTCCTCTTCTTCGCTTTCCCTCTGCTTTGCCAAGCATAATATCCTTCTCCAGAGACTGGTCTCTTCTGACAATATGTCTAAAATCTGTGCAACAAAGTCTTGCTATTCTTAGAGAAGTAGCATTCTGGCTGTACTACTTCCACGACAAATTTATGTGTCCTTTTGGCAGTCCATGGTACTTTCAAAATACTTTGCTAACACCATAGTTCAAATGCATTGGTTCTTTTTTGATCTTCCTTGTTCAGTGCTTGACTTTCATATGCATATGAGGTGATTGAAAATATGATGGCTTGAGTCAGGCGAACCTTAGTCCTCAAAGTAATGTCCTTGCTTTTCACTACTCTGAAGAAATCTTGTGCAGTTAATTTACTTAGTGCAACAGGTCTTTTGATATCTTCTTTGCTGCGTCCATATGCAATAATTGTCGATCCAAGCAAGATTAAATCCTTGACAGCTTCAACCTTTTCTCCATTTAACCTGATGCTACCTATGGGTCAAGTTGTGAAGATTTTGATCATCTTTACATTGAGTTGTATAATCAGTACTGACGGCTCTAATCCTTGATCTTCATCAGCACAGGTGCTTCAAGTTCTTACTTTGAGGAAGTAAGGTTAAGTCATCTGCACATAGCATGTTGTTAATAAGCTTTTCTCCAGTCCTGACGCTACATTCTTCTTCATATAATGCAGCTCCTCTGACTTTTTGTGAAGCATACAGACTGAATATGTATGGCAGGAGGATACAACCCTCATCTGAAACACCTTTCCTGATCTTAAACTGTGCAGTATTCTCTTGTGCTCACACAACTACCTCTTGATCCCTGTAAAAGTTCCACAGGAGCACATGTACATGTACAAGAATTCCCATTTTTCTCAAGCTATGCATAGTTGGTTATGATTCACAGAGACAAATGTTTTTGCATATTCAGTAAAACACAAGTAAACCAATTTCTGGTATTCTCTATTTTCAGTCAAGAGCTATCTGCCACAAGCAATGATTACCCTTGTGTCACATCCTCTTCTGAATCCAATTTGAATTTCTGAAAGCTCCCTATTTTTGTACTGCTGCAACAGTTGTTGAATGATCTTCAGCAAAGTTTTACTTGCATGTGATGTTAATGATATTGTTCTATAATTCACTTTCTTTGGAACGAGTACAAATAGGAACTATTCCAGTCACTTGTCCAGGTAGCTTTCTTCCAAATTTTGTGGCATAGGTGAGTGAGTGCTTCCAGTGCTTCACCAGCCTGTGAACACTTCAATGGGTATTCCATCCATTCCTGGAACCTTGCTTTTGGAAGCCTGAACTTCTTTTGAGTGCTTATGTTTGTGAGGACCCCATGCTAAGATACTTAATTGCGTTGTCTAATTTAATGGAAGTACAGTAATTATCCTCATTCTACAGAAGATAGACCTCATAACTAAGCCACACAGATAATGAGAGGTGTGTCAAACCCAGTTCTGGAGGATTTCAAACCTATTATGCTGTGATACCACTGTGTGCCCATTATCAGGCAATTTTTTAAAGTACAGTTCACATCTTGTAGCTTTCTTCAAGAAAAATTCCCAGAATCTTCTTGACTAGAGAGTAAAGCCTTAAATACTTCAGCCTGGTGTTAAGATATTAAATATCATATTCTCTCTTTCTATTTTCTCATATCTTTCTTTGAGGACATGGGATATATGTTCATTCAATAATAAATATAGGTTTGGATATGATCTATAGTATTGAAATGTACTGCCTGGACCAATCTCTGCATCATATAAATGGGAATAGTTAAAGAGACAAGACATTTTGCAGGGTAGATTACATTTCAATATGAAAATGTTACATATGGGAAGATAATTTTGAGCAAAATTTGCTCTGGTGAATTTGTACTTGAAGAATAGGTGAAGGTGATTTTCTAGAGGCAGGAATGGATGCTAATAAAAGACTTATTTATAATTACTTAGATGTAAAGTAGTGGAAACTGAAATTATAACAGTAAAAATGGATAGAAACATATACCAGGGGCATTGGCAAATTCAACCAGCTAGTACTAAATCCAGTGTAAATGATAAGAGAGAGACAAAAGTAGACGACTTTACATTTTTCAGTTTGGCCATTAACGAAGGAGCAGCAGAGTTGGAGATAAGGTTTGTGTTTGTTTGTTGTAAAGCTAGGGAATGGAGAGAAAGGAAGGGAAAACTTCATTCTGAACACGGTGCTCCTAAGTGTCTAGGAGGATCGCATTGTGAGAATGTGGACTTGGAAATCAGGGAAGATCATAGAGATAATCTGTGAGTAATTGTCTTAGAGGAACTATATGGAAACCATCAAAGTATAAAATCACCAACCGAGAGAGAGAAAACAAAAACCAATATATCCAAGTAGAGAATTTGGGTGGGTACACATGTTGGTTCCAGGGGGTGCCATTCCTAAGTGGTTTAAAGACAACAGAAATTTATTCTCACAGTTCTAGAGGACAGATTCTCACAGAACAAGGTGTCTGTTGAACTTCTAGATGTCCTTGGGGAGAACCCATTCTTTGTCTCTTCTCTTCTAGTTTCTGCAGGCTGTTCCTTGCATTCCTTGACTTGAGACTGTACCATTGTAACCTCTGCCATGTTACCTCTTCCTCCTCTGTGGACTATCTTGTAAGGACACATGTGATTGCATCGAAGATTCACAGGATAATCCAAGATAAACTCCTCCACTCCAGAGCCTTAATTTAATGACACTTAAAAATATAAATCAACATTCACAGGTGTTAAGTATTAGAACATTGATTTGCAGGAGCCCCCATTCAACTCAGTATACTCACTCACTGCCATCGAGGATGAGATGGACAGGTAAAATGGAACTCAAATTACAGTGCATCAGGTAAATGGAAGGAAATGAGCAAAGAACAGGTTCCCTCTTCAGAAGAAGCAGATTTACATCGATATATTTTGCTTATATGATATATTATGTATATAAATGCTATGCACATATGCTTGAATGTATTTTAAATAAATATTCTAAATGTATATGTAAATTGTTCCAAAGTGACTGTAGAATAAGCTCCCTCTTTTTGTCTGCATGGAATGTTTACACATATAAATTTGTGGAAAAATGGAACTCATCAACCAATACGAACTAACATTAGAAGATTAAGCTAATTTATGGTTTTTGGAAAGGAAAGCATTTACTACTTAATTACGTGTTTGCAATGTAAAACATCAGGAATTGCAAGAAAACAAGCCACATCAATGGAAAGTATGAAGATTGAGCCACTCTTACACTTACACACGCATGCGCTTGGTGTCGCTCTTCACTGAGAATGTTTTCGTGAGGACTGAACCACCTTCTTGCTGCAGAGAATTTGACTCCAGATCTGTTCGATTCATCTCGCAATTGAAGGTGATCAAATTGGGGTTTGAGAGGCAGTTTGTGGTAAGGTTTTCTACACATTCCAGCTATCTCAGTAGTTTTTTGATTGTTCCATGATGCTTGACCAGCGAGGAGGTCCGGGAACTCCATATCTGCTGCTCTCGCTTCTGCTGCTCGCCGCCTGGGAGGAAGGCAGCGGGCAGCTCCACTACTCCGTCCCCGAGGAGGCCAAGCACGGCACCTTCGTGGGCCGCATCGCGCAGGACCTGGGACTGGAGCTGGCGGAGCTGGTGCCGCGCCTGTTCCGCGTGGCGTCCAAGGGCCGCGGGGACCTTCTGGAGGTGAATCTGCAGAATGGCATTTTGTTTGTGAATTCTCGGATCGACCGCGAGGAGCTGTGCGGGCGGAGCGCGGCGTGCGGCATCCACCTGGAGGTGATCGTGGAGCAGCCGCTGCAGGTTTTCCACGTGGAGGTAGAGGTGAAGGACATTAACGACCACCCGCCCGTGTTTCCTGAAAGTAGGAAAAGAATAAGCATTGCGGAATCTAGACCTCCGGAAACTCGTCTTCCACTAGATGGCGCATCCGATGAAGATATTGGAGTAAACTCAGCATTGACCTACCGACTCAATCCCAATGACTTTTTCGCGTTGGATTCACCGAACAACCGTGAGCAAACGTCTTCGTTATCACTTGTGCTTAGGAAATCATTGGACAGAGAGGAAATGCAGGAACATAGTTTATTATTAACAGCCAGCGATGGAGGTAAACCCGAGTTGACCAGCACAGTCCAGCTGCTGATCACGGTGCTGGATGTGAATGACAATGCTCCAGAATTTGACCAATCCATTTATAAAGTGAGAGTGCCAGAGAATGCATCAAATGGAACATTAATGATCAAGCTAAATGCCACAGATCCTGATGATGGCACGAATGGAGACGTAGTCTATTCATTCAGAAGGCCTGTATCACCAGCAGTACTATATGCATTTATTATAAATCCCAATAATGGAGAAATTAGGATAAAAGGTGGTCTGGATTTCGAAGAAAATAAATCATATGAAATACTTGTGGAAGCCATCGACAATGGGAATGTTCCAATGGCTGGTCATTGTACCGTTTTGGTGGAAGTATTAGATGTAAATGATAACGCCCCAGAGATTACGATCACATCTCTGTCACTGCATGTCAAAGAGGATGCTCAGCCTAGCACCGTCATCGCCCTGATCAGCGTGTCCGACCGCGACTCTGGGGCCAACGGACAGGTGACCTGCTCCCTGACGCCCACCGCTCCCTTCAAGCTGGTGTCCACCTTCAAGAACTATTACTCGCT